CCTTACCACCTCTGGTCCACTTGGGCCCATTGCTTCAGTCACTGCATCAATCCATCTCATTGGGGTCTTCCTCTCTTTCGCTGACCCTCCACTTTTCCAAGAATGATATTCCTGTCTTAGAACTAGCAACATGTCCAGAGTATGAGACAAAGCTTCGCCATCTTTACCTCCAAGAAGCATTCTAGCTGCACCTTTTAGAAGACATACCTGTCCATTCTTTTGACTGTTCATGGGATATTTTCTACTTTACTCCAACAACACAACTTAAAGGTGTCAATTCTTCTTCTGTCATCCTTATTCACTTTTTAGCTCTCAGATGCACAGCAAGCGATTGAAAAGACCGCTGCCTGAACCAGGTACACCTTCATTTTCAAATTGACAGCACTGCTCTTCAATATTTTGGAGAAGTCCCTGACAGAGGCCCTTGCTTAAGGCAACACATCTCCTGATTTCCTGACTGCTGGCACCAAGGATTTTGATTGTGGATCTAAGTAAGATGAAATCATTGACAGTTTCAATCCTTTCTCCTTCTGTTCTGATGTTGCCTACTAGCCCAGTGGAAAGGGCCTTTGTTTTCTTGATGTTGAAATGTAATCCATACGGAAGGCTGCAGCCTTTGATCTTCTACAACAAGCACTTCAGGTCCTCCTCGCTTTCAGCAATCAAGATTGTCATCTGCATGACGTAGGCTGTTGATGAGTCCTCCTCTGATCTTGATGCCACATTAATCTTCATAGAGTCCAGCTTCGCTTCACAAATTATCTTCTCAGCATAACTGATTGAATAGGTATGGAGAAAGGATAACAACACAGATGCACACCCTTCCTGACTTAACCATACAGTGTTACATGCATTTTACTTTACTAGCAGGTTACATACATTCAGAAAACAGCTTCTTGGTCAACATATATATTTCTCATGAGTACATTTAAAATGTGGGCTTCTCGTTCTTCTCAATGTTAGCCGTAGTTTGTTTTGATCCACATAGTCAAATACCGTTCAGTGGTCAGTAAAGCACAAAGAGGCATCCTTCTGGTATTATCTGCTTTCAGTCAGAATCCACCTGATAGGAGCAGCGATATCCCCAGTGCCACGGCCTCTTCTAAAGCCAATTTGAATGTCTGGCAGTTACCTGTCTATGTACGTCTTTTTATCATCTTCAATAATGTTTAGCTTGAATGTGACGTTATGATATTATTTGATAATTCCACATTCTGTTGGGTCACTGTCCTTGGGAATGGGAATAAATGTGGATCCTTCCCAGGCAGGCAGCTAGGCAACTGTCCTCCAAACTGCCTGGTGAGCATGTCCAGGGTTACATCTCTTAGTTGCTTTGTGTCAATTGGTGTCACACCGATTCCCAAGGCCTAATTTTTTCCAGTGCCTTCCACACAGCTTGAACTTCTTCCATTGTTACCATTGGCTCTTGTTCATATGGTACTTCCTGAAATGTTGCAGTATCATCCAATTCTTTTTCGTACAGTGATTCTGAGTATTTTCCCTATCTTCTCTTAATGCTTCCTGGATCATTCAAGATTTTGCCCATCGCATCTCAGTATTGCCAAGACTTGACTTCCCCCCACCCCCCGGCCCCAAGTTCTTTCAGTTTGAGAAATGCCAAGCAAGTTCTTCCCTTTTTTATTTTCTGACTCCACATCTTTGCACATTTTGTCATAATTCATTCTTTGTCTTCTTGAGCTGCTTTTTAAAATCCTCTGTTCAGCTCTTTTACTTCAACATCTCTTCCCTTTGTTTTGGCTCTAATGCAATTCTCTTAGTTTCTTCTGACCCTCATTATGGCTTCTTCTTTCTCGTCTGTCTTTGTAATGACCTTTTGCTGTCTTCATAGCTGATAACCTTGCTTTCGCCCCACAGCTTCTCTGGTCTTTGATCATTGGTGATCAATGCCTCAAACCTGTTCTTAAGATGATTTTTTAAATTCAAGTGGGGTAGACTCAAGGTCGTAGTTTGGTACTTGTGCATTTATTTTCCTCTTCTTCAGTTTCAATCTGAATTTGCACATGAGTAATTGGGGGTCTGTTCCACAGTCAGCACCTGGCCTAGTCCTGAGTGCTGATATTGAGTTCTTGGAGTGATTCTTTGCACAAATGTAGTTGTTCTGGTTCCTACGCAGTTCATCAGGTGAAGTCCACATGTCACCTTCTGTGTTTCTTTAAAAATGTATTTGCTTTGAATACATTTTTTAATGTACAAAATTCAGCCACTTACTCTCTAGTCTCATTTCTGTCCTCACATCCATGCTCTCTGGGATGTTTTTTACCTCTCTGGGTGAGAAAAAAAGAAAGGTGGCCGAGGCAGACCTAAAGGCAACCAGGCCATCTTGTTCCGGGGGCAGCGGCTGCTTCTCCCAGGTGCTCCTGAGAAGGAGTGAGCAGAGACAGAGATTTCTTTTCTTTTAGTTTTATCAAGTGGAACTAGAAAGGCAGCATTGAACCTCAGGGGGGGTTTCTGATAACTTCTCTTTGAACTTGAAGCTTGGTTTTGATAAGCCTGGCCGGCTGCATCTCCAGCCAGGGCCTCTGCTGAGGGAGGCGGCAGCTGTGAAGATGAACTGAGCTTTGTTTTCCTTTCTTCTTTGCCTTTTCTTGTTTTCTCCCCTCGGGGAAAGGGTAGGCACCGTGTGTGAATAAAGGTCATCGCAGGCCATAGCATCGCTGGCTTCTCAGGTACGGCACGTAGTGTGAGGAGGATGTCTGCAACTGCGCTATCAGCCAGGCGCATGGTTCCTCTGTGTCCTTTGCAACGCCAGCAATTTACCGAGCCGGAACCTGTAAACACATTTCTCATTGCATCCTTGCAACGGTCCTGTGATGGAGGACCCTTTGATCTGAATCTTGCAGACAAATGAACTGTGTGGTCCAAGTTAGTCTGGTGAAATCTGACTCTTGAACCCAGCTGTTGGAGCCTGCATGCACCCTTCCCACAATCTCAATCTTCTGCCAAGGTCTGCGGCCCTCACACAGAAGGGAGGTCCTAGAAATCCTGGAATCTCCCACACTGAGAACTCGCATGAGAGCTGAGAATGAGAAGAGGCTCAGTTCGACTCCCTCACTCCCTCAGAGAAGCCTCTTGACTTTTTTGCCTTGTTGCCCCATCTCTCCCATGGGAATGACAACAGTGCCTGATGCTTTTTAATCTGGCCAGTTCCTGGCAGTTCAGTCCTGCAGGACCCAGGTCAGTTTAGGGCGGTGAAGTCACGAGGGTTCCAGGCCATGCGCTTGGATGTCCACAGGCCACTGGCTGATTATCCATGTCCACCTTCACGTGCGACCTGAGGGCTGGATGGGACATCGTCCATCATTGAGTTGTTTACTCAGGAAAAGCAGGGAGTGTCGTACTTTCTTTACTCAGTTGTATCAGACGCAGTGAGTTCCAGAAACCTCGCCCCATCAGCCACTATGATAAGTCAAGTGCCCCCAGCCCCAGGGGCTTTCAGAAAGGCAGTTTCTTTAGATTTGTCCCTCATTCTGTTAAGCCCTCTCACCGCCCCAGGAGATGAAAATGAGACCTCAAGTTTGACTGCTGACTGCACTGAGGAGTCTAGCCTGGGTTCAGGGTGCCTCCCCCTGGACCAGCTCAGGGTAAAGAGAAGGAGTCGGTCCCAGCCCTGTCAGTAAGGGTGCAGCAGGTAGGGCACCAAGCCAAGCCCATCAGTTGTCCTGTCTGGACTAGTGACCCAGGGTTTCCATAACTTCGGCTCCTTCCTCACCTGCGTGTATTCCAGATAATGCTTCTGAATCCATCTGTTTTCCTAAAGCCTTGCTTTTGAAAACCCCCAGTGTCTTAGTTTTCTCGTATTGCTGTAAAATGTTCATAGAAGCGTTATTCACCATCGCAAGAACATAGAAACAGCCCAAATGTCCAACCGCAAAGGAATGGATTGAGAAATTATGGTATGTTCACACAGTGGAATACTACGCAGCACACAGGAGCAATGATTTAGTAAATTATTACCTAACTTTGGAGGGACTAGAGAGCATTATGCTGAGTGAACTAACTCAGTCCCACAAGGATAAGTATTGCATAAGACCGTTATTGTAGAATGAGTATAAGGATCCAGGAGAGGTGGGGGAGGCTGGAAGCAGAGGGATGTGGATGTTCAGGGGGAAGATGCAATTAATCATCAGGTTGTACAATTTGATGCATGAGGGGGTTGAGGGAAATGGAAAGAATTTGTTTGAATTTGTATTAGAATTTTGTAAATAAACTAGCATTGTTGTTTGTTGTTAAGTGTCGTCGAGTTATAGATGACTCATAGTGACCCTATGAAGGAAAGACCCGAACACTTGTATAACTTTCATCATTTCTCCAGGTTCATAGAGTTTTCCAGAGGCAAGCTATTTCGGAAATGGATGCCACTCCTGCTTCCAAGCTTGTTTTAATTGGGAAGTTCCACCAAACACTGTGGGTAACCATTGTCACATTTGACACGTCAGTGTCACAGTGTTCAGTTCACAGCAACCACAAGTTACCTCTGTACAGCAAGTGGACAGACCAGGGCTATACAACCTAGAAGAATGTCTGACCATATTAAAACCAGGCTTGAGGGCTGCAGATAATGGGGGAAAAATTACTCCAAATAGATGACATTGAAGAATAGACATTTATTTCCTTGAGCTTTAAGAGGCTAAGATGGCTGTGTTGATTCAGTTGTGTTGATCCCTTCCTTGTTTGTAGCTCCTGGTTTTCCTTGGTCCCTTGGCTTGTAAATGCTTCTCAGAGATACCTGCCTTCCCCAGTACACGCACCCCCCATCTCTGGATCTGGGATGCTCTTCTACATAACTCAGAATCGACTACATTTGAATCCACAGAGGAGCGCAGCTGCCCAGCCACGACGTCTGAGGGCGGGGAGCCTTCCCACCGTCTGCCTGAGGACGGGGAGCCTTCCCACCATCTGGCTGAGGACGGGGAGCCTTCCCACCATCTGGCTGAGGCTGTGGGATCTCGTCCTCACACTCTCCCTTTTGTTGCTCACAGTGGCCCTGCCACCCGAGAAGACGGACAGGCCAGGCAGTGCGGATGAGAAGCGGATGGAGAAGGCAAGCGAACCTTGTCCGGGCTCCAAGAAGCAGCTGAAGTTTGACGTAAGTTTGCTTTCTGGGTTCTGGGCCCTGGCTTTGGACCCCTCAGAGTGGTGCTTTGAGAGGAAGCTAGCTGAGGTTTATCCAGCGATGAGGACCCCTCTGCGGGAAGTCCTACCTCCACATCCGGAGCCTTTACTTACTTAGCCCTCAAGGACGATTTGGAGGGGTTTCTCCTGACTTTCCCCCCTTCTGTGGTGGCCAGAGGATCCCGCTGAACCCAGCAGCCTGGCCGCAGAGAGCAGGAGTGGAAAGGGAACTGAGATTCTGGTCCCAGCACGGCTATTGCTCTGTTGTTGTGTGACCTTCTTCCTCTTTGGGCCTCACTCTCCTCATTGGTCAATACCGCTGCTCTGCTCCCTGACACTGTCTGGGGCTCCATCTGTGGGCTGTCAGGTGGGAATGGAGTGATCAGGAAGTAAGCCCACCCTGAGCCTCCGCTTTCCTGCGTGGCCTGTGAGAGGCATGGCATGGAATAGGTCCTGCCCAGATTCCATCGCTCCAGCCTGGCCTTCTGCTGCACCCCCGACCCCAATGGTGTATTGTGTCCAAAGCGCAGTCGCTGGCAGGTGCTGGGACATGACCGGAAGAACTCCAGGTCCTCTCCCTCCTGCCTTCCTCTCCTTCTTTCCTATTTCCTGAAGAAATAGCTCTGGAGCCAGCAGGCCCAGGTTCCAATCCTGGCTGGGCCACTCAGGTAAGTTCCTAATGTGTCCACTGCCTACTTGTCTCATCTGTCAAATGAGGACGGTTATTGTGTCTCTCTCAGAGGGCTACGCGAGAATTAGGAATGCATGCTTCTCAAGTGCCTTGAGAGCCGTCTCTGCTACTAAACAAGCACTTTCAGTCTTCTATCCAACAACATAAACAGAACCCAAAAGCAAAAGGTCACTTAAAAAACAAGAAGGGATAACCGATCAGAATCTGAAACTTGCTGTAGTGTGCAGAGAAGCCAAAGTGAAGGGAAGACAGGGTAAGGTGAAGAACTGAACAGACGATTCCCAGAGGAATCGAAGGACAAAGTTAGGTATTATCATGAAATAGGCAATGACCTTTCTACTTCCGTAATAGCTTGCCTCCAGAAATCCTATAAACCTGGAGAAAAGATGAAAGTCACACAAGTGTTAAGGACTTTTGTTCATAGGGTCACTATGAATCGCCTACAACTCGACAGCACTTAACAACAACAACAACATGCAATGACCTGGAGTTAGAAAAATCAAAAAGGAACAAACACTCTTGACATCTCTCAAACTAAAAAACAAGCACAAAACCTGTTCAAGTCCTGAATTGCAATGGTGAAGGACTCCTTGGAAAAACACTGAGTGGTACGGAAAGTACTAAAAGAAGATGGAGAGAAAATGCAGAGTGATCATCAGAAAGAATTAATTGGCTGACATTAAGCCATTGTAGGAGGGAGCATATGCTCAAGGACCAATGATATTTAAGAAAGAAGCAGAAGGAGAGAGGAAAAAAAAAAAGAAAGATGCGAAATCTCCACTGGAAACATTGGCCACAATCAAGGCTCCAAAAATTGACAAGATACTGATTGAGTTATTTCAACAAATAGACCATTGGCACTATTTCATGCAATTCTGCCAAGAAATTTCACAGACAGCTTCCTGATCAGCCAACTGAAAGATGTCTAAATGTCCATTCCCAGGACAGATGGTTTAACAGAATATGGAAATTCTCACACAATATCATTAATATACACAAGTAAAATTTTGCACAAGATAATTTAAAAATGGTTGCAACAGTGCATCCACAGAAAAACCCAGAAGAAAATGTAGGATAAACAATATCATTGCTGATGTCGGATAGATTTGGGGCTGAAGACAGACAGTATGAGAAGGATATTGCTGTACTGACTATGCCACGGAATTTGACTGGGGGGGTATAATAAATTATGGATAGTATTTTGAAAAATGTTCATTTCCACAGCACTTAGTTGTGCTCACGCAGCATAAACCAAGAGGCCGTTCTTTGAACAGAACAGAGGAATGCTGCATGGTTTAAAATAAAAAGTATGCACCAGGGCTGTTTTCGTTTATCATGTTTATCAGTCTGTGTGATGAGCAAAGAAACTTTATGAAGAAGACAACATCAGGATTGGGGACTGATTCATTAACAACCTGTGATCTGCAGATGACATGACCTGGCTTCCTAAAAGTGAAGATTTGAAGCACTTACTGATGAAATTCCCATCATCCGTACACCTTTGAGAATAAATTGCATCTCAGTGGAAAGAAGAAGAAAAAAGTCCTCACAACTGAACCTCATCACCATGAGAAATAGAAAAGAGTAGGTGTCAAGGATTTAATTTTAAATACGCAACCAATGTCAAATGAAGCAGTGGTCAGAAAAATCATAGAGCACAGGGTAGTGGATGAGCTTGTGGAAAAAAATGTCTTCAGACTGTTACAAACCATAGACATCTATCCTGGAAATCTGGCCCAGGTTTCCCAAGGAGCTGTCTCCGTCTTCGCCAGCATCGTCTAACCCTGGATCTAAGCTGACTCTTCAGGAGGACACAGCACCCCTTTCAGCCCTCCCTCTTGTGTCAGGCACTCCTGTGCTCACCAGGCTCCTCGGCCTCGGCCTCGGGCTCAATCTTACCTCCTTCTCCCAGGACCTAGGAAGGGGCGAGGGGAGGGGCTGCCCCTGCCTTCAGGCCAGGCATCTACCACCTCACAGATGATGCTCCGGCTGGTAGGTAACACCCGCCAACTCTGTTTATGTCCCAGGAGCTGCAATGTGACGTGTCCGTGGAGGAGGATAGTCGGCAGGAGTGGACCTTCACCTTGTACGATTTTGACAACAATGGCAAGGTCACCCGAGAGGTGAGTGTGTGCCCGCAGAGCTGCCCGCACCGCTCTCCGGCACCGAGACTGGGCGCCACCGTATTAGGCACCCTTGGCGCCACTGCCTTTCCTCCTGGAAGTCAATCTTGTCCTAGAATTCTTTTTTTAAAAATTAATTTTAATGAAAGTTTACAGAGACTTAGGGTTTCCATTCATTCATTGTCGAACTTTTCTCCCTGCCCACCTCACCCCTCCCAGTTCACTCTTCTCCTTGAAAAGTAAAACTCTTTCATTGTTATGCAGTCCCTCCCCCCAAGTTCACTCCCCTGTGCAGCCTTCATTCTGGACTCCTGTCATGACAATAATACCTAATCATATATCCTTCTTAAACAGTTCTCTCCCTCATCTGTTTCAATGCAGTTATGAGGAGACAGAGTATGGCTTCCAGAAACCTGAGAGAGAGCTGGAGGAATGTCCCAGAAGTAGCTGAGGGTGAAGTGACAGGAAAAATGCAACTGGGTACCCCTGCTCTGCTTCCACCAGGGAAAGGGCAGGCAGCAGGCAGAGTCCGAAGGTCTCCAGGGCCCTGGGACCCCACAGGAGTCCTGCCCAGCCTTCTTCTTGCTTGAGGGCCTAGCCATTCTGCCAAGTGGAGTTGAGGACAGGCACAAAGTCATACAAAGCATCCCTCCAGCCACACAGGAATAAACACTGCTCTGCAGGTCCCTCAAGGCCCCCTTCTTCCTGGCCACCTCAAAAGCTCTGTGCACGTCTGTGGATCGATCTCTCCTCAGCCTTTCTTACCTGTCTGCATGCCAAGGCTTCTGAGTGCTGTGCGCCCCTGGGGGCCAGAGGACACAGGGGAACACAGCAGACACAGTCCCCCAGCCTCACAACTCTGACAGTCTGATTGAGGGAGACAGCTCTGAACAACCAAAGTAATTATAAGCTGGATTGTGTTCAGTGGCAGAAGAAGGCAGGAAGGTGTGTGTGTGGCAGAGGTTCGTGGGAGCAGCCGGAGCTGGAACGGGAAGAAGGTAGAGGGGATGTTGGCCTCCTGAGGACCGGCGGTGCTTTGGAGGAGCTGAAGAAGGCTGGTGCACGTTCTAACAGCAATACCCAGGAGGTGCTTTTAAGTTAAGAGTCTGGCCTCCTTGCATTATTGCTGGTCTCTGCTCTGCCTCTCTTTGGCCCGGGCCTGGGCCTCAGCTGCTGACCGTCTTGTGCTGTCAGCCCCATCCCTCGTAAGGTAGCCTCGTGGCAGGGTGGTAGCTCGTGGCAGATCCAAGGCTCGCAGGTCAGCCTGGCCTGACCTCCCATCTATTGTGTGAGAGCTCCAGGGCTGTCTTTATGGAAACCTCACTTGCTTAGCTCCCTGACCCCCATCAAGGCTGAGTTCTTTCTTCTCTGTGGACAGAGCAGGAGAAGCTGACCTTGATACTGCTAGAGGGGAGAGCAGGCTGAAAGAGGCCACCTCCCTCTTAGCCTGAGGTGGAAGGGACGTTAGAACAGGCCAGGGAGGAAGCTGTGACTGGCTTTTATTAAGCCCGGGCTCTTTGGGGATGTGCGGTTTCTATAGCTGGAATCCCGTCTGGGGGCACTGACTTCACACAGCCCGGCATCTTCAGGACTTGCTCTTTGTCACGGCTCAGCTTGCTCTGTGTTTCTTTATTGGGAAGCGAGCTCTCTCCTTGGCAATAGCAAGATGGAGGCTGACAATTCTCACATGCACTCAGTCGGCTCAGAAACCCTCGGAGCCAGACTATCAAAAGTTTCAGGGCCTCAGCTCACTGGCCCTGACTGGATCCCACACCTGGCTCTGATCTAGTCTCTTTTCCTCGGGATTTGTAATGTTTTCATGGATCAAACTTGGATCATGTGCTCATCCTGGAAGTTGTTGGATACACAGATGGAAAATGAGAGGATGGCTTGTCACATAAACTTAGGGAATCACTGTTGGGAAAAACGGGGTTGGGCAAGCAATGTACCCAGAAGATGCCTGCTGCTGTGGAAGCCACAGGGACTCCTATGAGTGTGGGGGTCTCCTCCTTGGAGGTGGGAGAGTATATAAGCAGCATATCAAGTTCCCTCTGATGATACCAGATGCCAACAGTGGTGTGAATGACAGGTAGGACCACACAGATGCAGACAGTGCAGGGGGATAGCAAGAGCCTTTGTTGTTATTGTTATGTGCCATCGAGTCGCCTGCGACCCATAGCGACCCTATGTACAACAGCACTGAGCCCTTCCCTGTCTTGAGCCAGTCTCACTAATTCTGATACACCAACACCCATTGCCCATTACTGTATCAGTCCATCTCATCCAGGGTCTTCTTCTCCTGGGCTGTCCCTCCACCCTTCCAAGCATGATGTCCTTCTCCAAAGACTGGTCCTTTCTGGCCACATGCCCAGAGTATAGGAGACGGAGCTTCAAAAATCCTAGTTTCCAAGGAAATGCTTGGTTTTAACGCCTCCAAGACAGACCTGTTTGTTTTCTTGGCAATTCATGGTATGTTCAAGACTCTTTTCCAGCACCTTGACTCAAAGGCATTGATTCTTCTGTCATCTTCAGTCATTGTCCAACTCTCTGATTAATATCTATGGTAGGCTGTGAGCTTTGCTCTGCACCTCAGTTTCCTTCTGTGTAAAATAAGACCTTTCTAGGTCTTGACTCAGTGGTGGGGTTAATGGGGACAGGTGTATCAGAGACAAGGAGGTTGGCTCAGGATAGAATAGGGTTCGGAGCTATTGTACGTAATGTCAGTATGAGTTGCAAGCAACTCAATGGCACATAACGACAACAACAGGTCTCTTGAAGTTCTTGACAGGTGGTATCTGCCAATTTTGTGTAACGCTCATTTTATGTTATGGTTGTTATATTCCGCTTGAGACATGGCAGCTGTGGAATCATTATCTTGACAGGGAGAAGTGTCTCTGATTTGTAGTTGTTGTTAGCTATTGTCCAGTCACCCTGACTCATGACAGCCCCACACACAGCCAAAAGAAATCCTGCCCAATCTTGCACCAATTCCCTGTTCAGCTGTGGATGCGACTGTTGCAACCCTGAATGTTGCCATTGGCTGATTTTCGGAAACAGCTGGCCAATCCTTTCTTCCTAGTGTGTCTTCATCTAGAAACTCTGCTGAAATCTGTTCAGCGTTGTAGCGATGCACGAGCCTCCTGTGACACATGGGTGGTCGCTGCATGTGAAGGACAATGGCTAGGAATCGAACCATGTCTGCTGCGGGGAAACAAGGATTCCCTCACCAGTCCACCAGTGGCTGCTCTCTGGGAGGTAGACCGGGCCCTGAGGGTTCTCATGGCAGCATCTCCAGCTCTACCTACATGGGCAGCAGCAAAGGTAATACAGCTCCTTGCAGGCCCTTCCTGAACTTCTCTCTGATTTAGAGGTGATGACAATCAAAAGTTTGTCCCCAACTTGAGAGACCCCAAAGAAAGTGCAGCAGACAAGTTTTCTGATGACATATTCCTAGCCTCCTCCAGCCCCAGGGTAATCTGGGGGAACCAGCTATTGAGGCTTCCGAGGCCCTTGCCCCAGCCTGACCCAGGAGAGGGTGCTCACTGAAATATTTCTTCTTCCCACAAGGAACAAGGAGATTGGCATGGAGTCGGAGGACAATCCAGCCTGATGGATTCTCTGGTCTATTTTTAGCCCCTAAGATCACTCTTGAAATCTGTTTCTAAATGCCATGCTTCCTGGGTGTCAGCATGCACATTCCTGTGTATGAGGCGGGGTTCATATCTTTCACAGCAGCATCGGAGCCCAAAAGAGTCACCACTGGGCAGAATTTTCCACTCAGTTAAAAAGGACTGCTCCTCCTTCAGATACTCATTCATGCAACCTAATATTTACAGATACCAACTCATGTGCCACACCCCATATGGCACCTGAGTTGAGTTGCAAGTTGGGATAGGCAAAGCCCATTTGTCCCTAGACACCGTGAATCTGCTAGGATCTGATAGGCTCACGCTCTGGTCCCTAGACCTTCTGTGCGATGTAAGGTTAGTACATTATGTTAAGACTCAGTTGCCCCATCTGTAAAATGGAACTAATGGTGCCCCCTGCGTGGGCTCCAAGATACTGAGAGAGAACAGACAAACACAGCTTTACAAAGAAGCTCTGTATAAAAAAAGGAGAAAACAGATTGCTGAGGACCCCAAGTGAACGGTAAGCAAGTAGCTAAAGGTGCCCCCATGATTCCTTAATGGCCCAGAGAGATTTAATGGATGATACAGAATTTTCTGGCTTCTTTGAGATGGCTCTTAGTCCCTACTCCACACGGCCACGTACATCCAGTCCTGCCATTTCTCATCCACTGGTGGAGTTATCAAGTGCTGCTGTAATAAAAATAATACAAATGTTGTTGTTGTTGTTAAGTGCTGTCAAGTCATAGGCAAATCATAGCGACCTGATGAATGAAAGTCCTGGACTTTCGTCCTTTCTCCAGGTTCATAGGGTTTCCGGAGGCAAGCTATTACGGAAGTGGATGCCACTCCTGCTTCCAAGCTTGTTTTAATCGGAGACTTTAAAGGACAGAAATTTTATAATTGGAAGGCTAGAAATTCACATTGGAATATTACTCTGGAATGGCACCCCTCCTTGTCTGTAGACCCAGGAGTTCCTTGGCTTTAAGAGGGTTCCACCCACAGTCTCTCTCCGTTATACATGTGCATGTCTGTGTCTTTTTATTAGGTATCCTTCAGAAGGGATAAGGTTTCAGAGCGACCCTACTCCATGAACTCATCAACATAACAAAAGAAATTTCTATTTATAACTAGGTACAGAGGCTAAACATAACTTGTTGGGGAACACAAGCCAATCCTTAGCACTCGTCTTCATGCTCACATGGCCCCTTTAAAGCACTTGACAGCCCCTGATGCCTCTTTCTAAAGGGCTGATACTCCTCTGCTAAAGAGAGAGAGACATAGAGGAGATGGTAAAGGGTCCGGGCTCACGCAAATCACTGGGCAGCTAACTGAACATCTGTGAGGCTCCTACGGAGTGTTTAAGAATATCTT